GGCTCTATACAATGTTTACACTAATTCGCTTAGACCCCTATTCATCTGTGGAAGCATGGTGGGGAAGCCTTTCATCAGGGACTTTGAAATGCCAATGTGCAGACAGGCCTTATACCGGCCTGGAGTAGCCTGAATACCGGGCAGGCATTATACCGGGTGGGCTACCGGGGGGCCCTTTTCAAACCGGGTCTAAATGGTCGCCGTCCCTAAGTATATCCGGTACTGTCAATAGCAAACGTGTACATTACTAAATAAAAACAGCAAGTTAGAGTCGCCTGACATTTCTTGGGGCCATGACTTCTACAGAAGAGAAAAATATTCAAAGGGCACAACAGTACCAAAATTGTTATTTGTTTTGTTTAGTGTTTGTTGTTGTTGTGTTATTGTTGTTTTGTTTTGAGTGTCTGAGGAAAAAATGGAAATTGGACTAAAAATAATTTTTTACCAAGACAGTAAGACCACAAACATGCACCTTGCTGGAGAGCCACTTTAGTCAATCGTCATTTGATATGAGAGTTACATTTGATAAAACATGACGAAAATGAGAGGTCATCTGTCTGTTTGCCAACAGAACAGAAAGCTTTTTTGCATCCCTTTCTTAAGTTGAACAACCAATCTACTGCACAAACCTGATGGTGTAAATCTGTCATCATGACCATTTGGGTGCAAGGTTTCAACCCAATCAGACATGCACTTCAGGAAATAATGCACTTTAAATAAAATGTAATTTACTCCTCATCTGATGACTTCACCATTACATCAGGTACATTTTCATCTACAACACTTCCTTTCCTTGTTATCTGCAACGTTTGAAATCAATGAGATATGTACTGAAGGAGGTATAGGGCTTTAAACAGTGCACCTTTAATATCAAGTGACTTGTCTCCTGATGGGGATATCATCACATGAAGCCAATATACCTTTAAAGTACTCCCTTGTCAAGATATTTGCAAGATTTGAACACGATCAGACATGTACCTTGGGAGATATAGAGCCTTAACCCCTTGACGACAGGAATTTTTTCCGAAAGCCGACTCCAAGAATTCCAACCTCGCTTGGCCATGAAGGCCACCTGTCAAACCGCAAATTCTTGGTTTGTGGCCCTGCGTGCTCTGCATGCTTTGAATTACAGAGTGAAAAAGCTCTTTGTCTGGTGGCATGCGGCTCTACTCAGGCTTCCACATTCCCGTTGACGCTTTTCAAAGTGGGGACTATTGTGAAGCTGGTGATTATGATGTAAATTTGGTCTTTTCATTTCTGGGCTACACACAAAGGCCAATGACCATATACAAGAGCCAGGGTCTGCCTTCTTTCACCGTGTTTGCTCGAGTGTGGGCCAAGAATAATAGCTAAAAAGCGGGCTGAGGATCTCAATTTTTACGGTGGCTCTTATTGCTCACTTATTGCTGGATGACGTCATCATTAAATGAGCTCAATATTTGCCTAAAGCACTTCCTTTCCAAGGTGTAATGTAGTTTCATCTTCTATACAACGAAACCATTGTACTTCTGACAAACTCACACGATCACGCACTGCTGCTAATCTACATGTATACTTATTTATTTCTACAGTAGTGCTAGCAGATGTGATACATAGCAAGTCAAAATCTTGAAGACCCTCTTCCCCTCTCTCTCCTCCTCTTTATAACCCATCTTATTCCCATCTAATTTCTAAGAAAATATATGTGCACTTCCAGAAGGTTAGTAAGGTCAGTCCAGGATATAGTGTGGTCAGCCCCGACCACTTTCAGTCCCTTAGATTTCATTTTTATGACCTTCTCATGAGCCCAGTTTCCTCCTTAATTGACCACGACCTTCCCCTACATACTTGTGGTTCCTTACTCAGAATTGCTTCATGACACAAGGTATAAGCAAGGTTTCAATCAAGCACTAACACCAACAGACTAACACTGTTGAAAAAAACTTAATACCTATTACCACTTTTAAACAATAAGCCCACTTCTGGTTTTGACCGGAAAGAAGGGTCATGTGATTTGACCAACATGAGATGAATTGGAGACCAAATTATACTCTGCCACTTGATGCAAACAGAATTTTGCGGGAGGCCACGGTTGATTTTATATGGATTTTTACAGCATTAACATAGTATTTAAATAATTAAAATTTAATAATAAATCACTTCATGATGTCATCATGACGTAATTTTTTTGATATCAACTTTCCCTTGAGGTCTTTTCTTGGTGTAACTTTGATGACAATTGAAGATAGCAGAGTGAGGGCGCAGATGGAATCAACTTCGTTCTTCTTGGAAGACAATGCTGGTTGCCCGGTCGCGGCCAGGGCAGTGCCTGGTTCCGAGCCATGCCCAGTCCCATGGGGAGTGGCCTTCTCCAGCAGAAGTATGCCTGGCTGGTGCGATTCCGGTGTGGAACCCTGCCCGATGTAACCATGGCTCGCAGCGGGAGAGGGTGGAAGGGCCTGGTGCGCTAAAAATGGGTCCAGGGTGGTGGAGGCTGATGGTGGTCTAACACCAATGCGGCGATTGATGAAGGTCAGAACTTCATTAATGGACTGGAAGGCTGACATTCAAGCCGCAGAGGTTTGTTCGTGGTTGTCGAGGAATTCGATGAAGAGCAGTAGTGCTTGCCTTTTACAGTGGGGGCGACCCGACGGCAGAGGTAGCAGACGGAGTTGCGGGAGGCGAAAGGCCTAGGGTGCATTCCCGGTCAAGGTCAACGGGAACTGCAGAATTCTGGGCAGAGGGACCAGTAGAAAAGAGGCCTGATGATATCCAGTTGAAAGCCCAAGTCACAGATGGGCTGCGGTGGCTTGAAGCCTGGGTGGCAGGCTGCCCAGCAGTGGAAGTGGCAGACAGGGCCGCGAGAGGTGGACCGCCCGGGCATGTTCCCGGTCGAGGTCAATGGGAAGTGCAGAATTCTGGTCAGAGGGACCAGGAGAAATGAGGTCCAATGACCTGGTGATGCCAATTAAAAGCTCGAGCCGTGGTGCCTTAGAGCCCCAGTGGCAGGCGGCCCAGCGACGGAGGTGGCAGACTGGGAGGCAGATGCCCGGGGAGTGTTCAGCGGGAACTTCAGAATTCCAGGCAGAGGGACCAGGAGAAAAGAGGTCCATGACCCAGTGATGCCCAGTTGAAAGCTGTAAGCTGTGGATGGGCTAAGGTGGGTTGAGCCCCGGCGGTGTAAAAACCTGGTAAGCTCTGGGGGACCCGAAGAGGGATTAGTGGGTACCAGGGTGTCATGGCTCGACGGCACACTATGCAGGGAGGGCCCCAACACTTGCAGGGAGCCCAGTCTGGTGACTTTGGTATCTGGGCAAGAGGGAGTATGGGAGTGGTGTTCTAGGCCGATGTCAAATGGTGGGTGGTACTCTTTAGAGTCACCGGGGAATGCCGGCCGGAATGCTGCGTGGATTCCTCTGGGCCATGTCGGGCAAAAAGAGTGGAATACACCACGATGATGGTCAGACGGGCTCTGGAGACATGCCATGCCAGCAATTGACCAAGGAGACAGGGTCCCTGCCAGATTCTCGGGGTGTCCCCGCTTGGGTTTTCCTCAGCCAACCACGGAGCTTCCCCATCAGCTCCGTGAGGCCGAACGGACCAGGGGCATTGCCAGATCCTGGCTGGAACCCCCGGACAACGGCAAGGCCTTTTCTTCGTCCTGGTAGCCGGAGAAGACAGGGGAGTATGACAGATTCTGAGAGCGACACCCTGCATTCAACAGGCTAAGGCCTACAATTCATTGGTAGGGTAGATACAGTGTAGCTAAAACAAACCTCATAGTACCGACGGCAAACACCTGCAGAAGAAAACTGAAGACAGAAAACAAATATATACACGAAAAGAACACTCTTACCAATAAATGGATAAAATCCAGGTTATAATTTATTTACAAAGGAAGGAAAGGTGATCAAATCGACACAGAACCATGTAGCGAAAACGGAAGCTTGATAAATTGAAGATGCCTGGAAAGACACATCCGTTACGTTACAGCACTATGGGAGATCAGGTTGCACCATGGGTGATTAAATCTTTTCAGCGAATGAATAATAGGCGCATGGGAAATTTGAATATGTAGTGAGTGTTTGGGTAGGTAGAGCACCGTAGACTGAACATTTTGCATGGACCCTGTTGTTTTCGTTAGAGTGGTGATGTACTGTAACAGGTATTAACCACTTCGCACCGGTGGCAGTTATCAATGTTGATGATGTTGGGGCAGGATAATTATCATTTTTTTCTGTTTTCAAAATTCTTTAAAAATTCATCATTTACTGGACACTTACACCCACACGAAGGACTGCCTGGTGGCCACTCTAGCCTGAAAGACAAAATCTATTGACGCCAGAGTATTTCAGCCAGGCCTGCAGCTAGTAAAAAGAACCCAGATTGTGCGGTGTTGTACAACTTTCTTTTGTTCACGAACACGGCACAGTGCGCTGCATGCAGCAGTGCTGTGTGGCTCATCGCTGTGGTAGTGGAGCGCTTTTGTCCCCAGTGGTAATCTGCTTGCTCTAAATGCCAAAAACCATGGAATACTGTTTCAAAACAAGGCTGGATTATCTCCACTATAGAGAGTGAAAAAATGTCGATAATGCCCAGCAGCCTGGTCTTTTGTTCTGAGTACGGTCTTTTATAAGGCCCAGTTCCCTTTGTCCCATTTCAGAGACCCCAGCCACACATATAAAGCATACGTGTCCAGTACCAGAATCCCTGGCAGGAAGTGGTTAATGCTGCAGTGAATTCTAGTAAAAAAAATTTCTAAATCAGGATACCTACCTTTCTCAAAGTCTTAATGGAGAGATCCCATGAATGACTGGGTCTAGCATCCTCATCAAACTGCTCAGAGTGCAAGTGATTCAACTGACTGACTATCTCATTTGAATAGTACACCTACAACAAACAGATTATTTGAGAAATATGATGTGTGTAGAATTTATGCAGTTATGTACATGTAATACTTTTACTCTGTGCATCCTGCAAGCTGTGCCATAATGATTTCAGGGATTATGTCTTGCACAGAATCACTACAATGCGAGCAAAATAAGTAAACACTTCATATAAGACGGTATCCTCTTTTTCATGGGTCCCATGAAATTTTTAGAATCCCTCCAAAAGTTGGACTGAACCAATATTGATAAAATAAAGCAGTGGTCATCTGAATACGAAAGGACATAGATCCCAGTTCAATCCCAGTTGTTTATTTTCTGTTGGATTCTGTGACTTACATGTAAATGCAGGGTCCCACAAAAAAATTGGATACTTTCTTTTTGTGATGAATTTATTATACATGTAGGTGAAATATAGGTTGCGTACAGGAAGAAGAAAGAAAATTTATGACAGACTATAATAAAAATGGTGTCCATTTTTTTTCTTTATTTTCACTTTTTTGCGGTCATCAGGCAATGCAACTTGATAACCATTCTCTGTTCTCATTTCACAAGCTTTTGAAATTTGGAAGCCAATTTCAGACACTTGTGTTGGAGAATATATTGGAAACTGCATTCTAAGGAAACTGCATTCTAAGGAAACTGCATTCAAATCTAGGATCCAGTAGAAGAGATAAGTATCATAGTGACCCCAAACATTTCTGGGTTCTCATTTAAGTTGTATAAGCCACATATCTCTTGAACAAGAAACTGTCCCCACAATGATATCACATGGTGTACTCGCAAACCTTCTCTCAGCACATTGTAGCCACTTTTCAACTACAGTTTATCACCTGTTCTTCATTGTCAACAGAAAAACCCTTTGTTCCCACTGCAAGACTCAGTATAATGTAATCTGTTGTAAAGCCATACAAGCCCACCCACACATGTGAGTATTTGCCTGCAACTGGAGACCCCCTATTGTTCCTCTTTTGTTTGTACTCTAACTTTTTTAGAAGACCCCCCATATGTTTTATACACGGTTGTCAAACTGGGACCTTCTGTCAATCGGGACCTTATTGTCCTCTATTGTTCAGGGTCCCCAATTGAATGCAGAAACAAACTCACCCACACACAAGCACATCCACACGGCCTAACTAATACGGTCGCGTGTGAAACAGAGTTTCAAAATGCTCCCATTTCAACATAAATCACTCTCCTGGACTGAAATTTCAACCGAATGTGCCTTATATGAAACACTTCATTTTGCAACAGATTCTTACACATTAAAATGTCTCCTTTTTGAGCAATTTCCAAATATCAGTTTTGTGAAATCTTTGTGGATAACTAGACACCTTTAGAAATTCCCTGTGGAGACCTATTCAACCCATTCTCCTGGTCTCCACAAGGCACCAGATTTCGAAACAGGTACTGAAGAACAAAGCCATATCTCCACAAGGATACAAATTTCGGAATGTGTCTACATATACTCGTATACATGTTTTCCCTTTCCTCTCCTCACAGAGAGCCCTCTACAAATACATTCCCCTACACATGTGAATTCTGATGCTAAATTGCATGTGACAAAAACTCCCAAATTTTTGTGTTCTTAACAGGTGCATTTAAGTCAAGTTAGGAAACTTCATCCCTTAATGCACTGTAGCAAGTTACCTCTCCTTTATTCCATACATGTAGCACACTGTTAATCACACCTCTAAGTAGTGATTTTTTTAGAGATATTGACAAATGGGAAAAGCCACCGACATAAGGCTGGGTATCTCAGTTGGTAGAGCACTGGTACGGTATTCCAAAGGTCACAGGTTCAAATCTTGCTCCAGTCAATTTCTTTGTTCATCCTTATAATTAGTGATTTTTTATGTAACATTTGTACCTCAAGTAGAGGGGACAGTAGGAGAGTTCATGCCACGGTCCCTGTCAGGAACTCACTCCTGCTAATCTTTCTACCACACTACACAAGCCTTTTTACTGGTACAGTAAAATCTCGATACCTCGAATCTCTGGGGAATGGACAAAAAATTCGAGTAATCCGAAATTCGAGTTAAAAGAAGGTCCCGATTTCTTTTGAAGTTAAGTCATTATTACGATGTGTATCATAACATATGCCTACGCACTGACGCACAGTTACCGTAAATCTCCCTCTGATGACTTTTGAAATGACATTGTGGTTATTTTATACTTTGGTGTCACAATTTTGTGTTCATAGAAAGACATTTTTGCGGAGGATTTTTGTTGTCAATAGGCTAACAAATAACACATTACAAGTACTGTAGATCATTTAAACTGTGTACCTTTGTATGGCAAATCTTTCTTATGCGTTGTGCATGTGTGATGCATAGTGGTGGTCCCATTTCTGAAACTGCACCGCAACGCAGCGCCTTGCACATGTGTACTCGGGCAGGGTTTACCGATGAGTCAGACGACTTTTTTCATCACATGAGGGTGCACCTTTTTGTGCTTCAATAAAATTTCGTAAAAACAAAAATGCTATTGGTGTCTGTTTTTATTTTTTGTTCTTCATTCTTTATTTTCAAACTTTTGTTTATTTCTTGGGAGTGAGATTTGGCTATGCAAAAGCTCTGCATTGCAGTCACGTGGTTGGTCCACTGCGCATGAGCATGCTGTGGTTTGTGGCTCTAATTGGGCAGCCATCGCACAGGCGAGTGCAAGCAGTTGGGCCAGACCATTGGGCCAGACTTAACTTCCGTACGTGCGGCGCGTGTGGCTTACACAAAGATCTCCAATGCACTGCTGCAGCCACTGCACAGAGCCATCAGTTGGCCTGCTGACGTACTGGCTACAATGGGCCCACGGTAACAATTGGGCCAATTCCTGCAAGTCGGATTTTGTGGTCACGGTGTGGTTACGTGTCTAGATTGATCATCATTGTAGCGCTTGCAAGAGTTCCGGTGTGAAGAGACGAAGTGTGCATGTCAGAAATGATAAATAACTAGACACGCGTTCTGTTTACACTTTCTGGAAGTTTTTTGGCAGCGGTTTCTTTTGGATCTGCTACATAATATCTTCAAGGTAAACGAATCCCACAACGCGAGCAATTCGAGTTACAGATATATTTTTGTACATAAAAGCCTATTCTTTCGGTGGGAATTAGTTATTCTTAGAGTTGAGTGGAGTTTTGAGTTAACTGACTATGAGTTATTGAGATTTTACTGTATACATGTAATTTTGATTCTGCAAAGTCCTCATGGTTACCAACAACCCTTGATGTTGATGCACCTCAGTGTCATCAACATGGGTCCTTATCAGGGCCGGCCCTGTGTATCTTCTCATCCAACACTGAAGGTGTTGCAAGCGCCAAGCAATATCTCCTGGCTGAGCTGTGTATAAAAAAAAAAAAAAAATTGTGACATACTCTGTCTACAGGAGACACGTTGTGGGCCTTCACGTATTCATCCATGCATCCCTGGTATGACCCTTGCAGCTGAAATACCACATGACCAGTAGGGCAGTGCAATTTTTGCACGTAAAGGTCTGCTTGTGGATGAGTCTTCTATATCAGACAGGAACAACATTGAAGTCCTGACCATCAAGCTTATGGGGGTTTCTGTAAGCTCCATCTATAAACCTCCAACTCAGACATTCTGCCTACATTGAGAAGTCACTGATGGCCGAGTTAATGTAGCTATTGGTGATTTCAACAGCCATAATATCATCTAGGGATATGGACAAACCAACGAAGACGGCGAACTTGTGGAGAACTGGTCAGATGCAAACCAGATGTCACTCATCCATGATGCTAAACTTCCCTTCTCCTTCAGCAGCTGTAGATGGAGACGTGGTTATAACCCTGAGCAGGTGTTTGTATCAAACAGCATTGCTCATCAATGTGAGAAGGTTGTGCTTCGACTAATTGGGCTCAAGGTGAATGCAGCCCTCATACCTCTTAAAGTTCCCTTTCGCCAATGTTTCAACCTGAGGAAAAAACTGGGAACAGTTTGCCGTAGACCTGGATTCATATCTTCAGGACCTTCCTGCCCTTCCTACTCATTATGACACCTTTGTAGAGTTGATCAGGCAGTCATCCAGGAAAAATATCCAAAGGCGCTTTCAGACTGACCATTTCAGTGCCGACACTTGGATGTGGGGAAAACTTGACCACTGCCATTATGGAAAGCAGACGAAGAAAGTGGCAAGAATTCATTCAATCAATTGATATGACCCACAACATCAGGAAAATCTGGAAAACAAGAACAGCCAAGCTCTCCATTAATGCTGGGACAGCTTCACAAGGGTTATCTGACTTTACAAGACCTTTCAGCATGAATAATCTATGTGGTACTATCAAAGCAATAACGCGTAACAAGGCAGCTGGAATTGATGAGCAAATCTGTGAGCAGATCAAACATCTTGGGCCAGTTGCACTCCAGTGGCTGCTCGACATGCTGAACAAATGTGTATTTGACAATACCATCCCAAAGTTGTGGAGGAAGTCCAGAGTAGTCGCTTTACTCAAACCAGGCAAAGACCTAGCCAGCCCAAAGAGTTACAGACCTATCTTCCTGCTCTGCCACACGTACAAGTGTGACCAGTAGACTATTCTTGTCACCTGGTCCCCTCCACTTCTTCAACATTCCTTATTCACTTTCAGACAACAGAATTCTTCTTTCTATACATGTGCCCGGTACCTCAAGAACAGATTTGCACTAGTTAACATAAAAAGATGCAGCCTTGTGTTGTGGAGTGCCCTCTCTCTTAAACCTTCATTTTACACACTTGATAAAAATAGCTGGCAACAATACTGTGTAGTGCACTCTGTGACTTTCTTGTATTGAGTAGCGCATTTGCATATCTACCGAGCCATACATGTGTATGCCAGCATCTGGCAATAGTGATCTGAACAGTGTATTGTTTTTGCCCTGCATTTTTTCACTAGTATGAAAAGCTTTTGTGATTCACCCCACCCTGTAGAGTGGGCAGAAACATCGCAAATGCGCTACTCAATACAAGATCACTCTGCTTCAGAGCCTCATCGCCTTAACATCACTT